CCTGGTCGACCAACCAAGTCGACCAGCAGTTCTATTAGCCGACCACCCAAGTCGGCTGCCCCAAGTTGGCTTCACCAGATCGACGCCCTCTCCAGGTCGACTTCCCAGGTCGACCACCCGAAGTTGGCGCCCTCCCGAAGTCGGCGCCCATACGTGGTTCCCCGTGCAAGTCGACCAACCCCGTCGACCAGCTCGCCCACTGCTACAGGTCGGCTGCACCCCTACACCCGACCACGAAGTCGGCTCCACCCAAGCGAGGACGGGGCCAACACACAACTCCCGTTGACACTCCCCTGCCACGTTCACGCTTGGGCCCCCAGCCCACACGGCAGTACTTCTCGGAGACCGCGGCCCCTCCGTAGACAAACACGTAGCCGCCCGTGCTCGTCCGGCTCTGCTTGTCACCGGCGTCGTCGGCGTCCACGTAGCCGACCAGCTCCAGCGACTCAGGTCCACCGCCGAACTCCAAGGCGGTGTCACGCGTGTTGGCGAGGTAGGCGAGGCAGCGGTCGACCTCGCGCCAGTGCTGGTCGCTCCTCACCGTAAGGCCGCTCCCCAGCTTGCTGCAGGCGAAGGCGATGTCCGGCCTCGTCATCGTCGCCGCGAACTGCAGCGAGCCGACCTTCTGCCGATACTCCTCCTCCTGGCGTTCCTGCGCCTCCTCGTCATCGAAGGTGAGCTCGGCGTTCATGGGCGTCGAATGAGACCGGCGTCTTCGGGGTGCGCCCAGTCTGCTCCTCGTCGATGAAGCGCCTACGCAGCTTGTCGGCATAGCCCTGCTGGTGCAGCCACAGCTTCCCCGCCGACCTGTCGCGCACGATCTCCAGCCCGAGGTACTTTTGCACCAGCGAAATCTCACGCAGCTCGAAGGCGGCTTCCAGCAGCTCCTTCAGCCCCTCCAGCATCGCAGCGCGGCTGCTGACGGCGAGCAGGTCGTCGACGTAGACCAGCACCCAGCAGGCCACTCCGTCGTCGCCGACCTTGAAGTACAGAGCCTCGTCGACCTGGCTCTTCTTCTATCCGGCGCCGACCAGCACGTCGTTGAGCGCCAAATACCATGGTAGCGGCGATTGCTTCAGCCCGTACAGGCTCTTTAGCAGCTTGCACACCCGGCCGGTTCCGTCGTTGAAGTAGTCCGGCTGGGACATGTACAGCACCTGGTCGAGCTTGCTCTGTAGGAAGGCGTTCTTCATGTCGAGCTGCATCAGGTTGAGGTCGAGGACGGCGACGATGCTGAGGAAGATCCTTAGCGTCACATAGCTGCCCACCGGCGCAAATGTCTCGTCGTAGTCGGCACTGTACATCTGCGTGAAGCCCTTCACGACCAGCCTCGCCTTCTCTCGCTCGACGGTGTCGTCGATGTGGTACTTCGTCGTCAACACCCACCGGTTCTTCATGATGTTCACTCCCGGCGGGCGCACGACCAGCTCCCACGTGCCCATATTGATGAGGCTGCGGATCTCCTCTTCCATGGCGGCCTTCACCGCCGGGCCCTTCCAGCTTGCCAATGCCTCCTTCACCGTCATCGTCGAGATGTCCCAACGGTGGTCGGGGTCGGCCTGAGTGTCGGGGTCGAGCTATGGAAACTCCTCATCGTCCTCGGCGTCGTCGTACAGCAGGTCGTCGTCCTTGTCGACCACGTCATACACCGTAGTGAAGGCAGCGGGGACAAAGAAGTCGGGAGGCCTCCGAAGTCGACCTGACTTTCGAGGTTCAGGCCCCACCTTGTTACGGTCGGTGGACTCCTCGTCGCCCTCCTGCTCCCCTTCATCTTCACGGACTCCGCCGTCCTCGTCGTCCTGCTGCACCTCGGTCGGCGTCCCGACCGATTTCTCCCCTGCGGTCAGCTCCCCTGCCGACTGCTCCTTGGTCAGCCTCATTGCCGTTTGCTCCCCTGTCGGCTGCGCCTGCTCAGCCTGCTGCTTCCCCGGCTGCCCCTCTGTCGACTTCACTTCCAGGCCGACTTGCTTGGCGCCATGTCGACCACCGGCGATGCTCTTGGTCGGCGTAACAGGCGACGCCCCACAACTCCCCTCATTGCCGGAGGCCGACGCCGGAGTCAGCCCACGCAGGTCGGCGACGAGGGGAGGGGATGGGGAAGGGCAGGGAGGGTGGACGACCGCGGCGTTTTCATCAGCAAGCTCACCGATCTCGGCGAGAAGGAGGAGCGTTGCTGTCAAGGTATCCGTCGGCGTGGTCACCGGCGTCCGCCCTGACACAGGCCCGTGCGCCGACTTCCACACCTCGAGCGACATGGTCTCGTAGAACACCACGTCCGACCACTTGGTTGTCGTCGATGTCGAGGAGCTTCCAGCCCTTGCTCTCCGCCGACACGCCGGGGTGAAGGCCCCACTTGGCCTTCGGCTTCAGCTTCCCACCACGTTGCTGTTTGGGGACAAGGAATTGCGCCATGCAGCCCCACACGCGCGCCAGCGACAGGTCGGGCTTCGTCCCGGTCAGCAGCTGGTACGGCGTCGTCCCCGGCGTCGCCGACCGCTCCAGGCAGTTGCGGACCCAGACGGCCTGCCGCAGAGCGAGGTGCCACCAGTGGTGCTGCACGCCCATGTGCAGCAGCATCGTCCGCACCGACTCCACCACCGTCCTCATCTCCCGCTCCGCCATGCCGTTCTGTTGCGGGGTGTAGGGGCAGGTCAGGTCGTGGACGATCCCCTTTCCGTCCACGAAGGTGGTAAACTCCTTGCCAAGGAACTCCCCGCCTCGGCCAGAGCGCAGCTGCAACACCGACCTTTTTGTCCGCCGCTCGACCAGCACCAGCCACTTCTGGAACTCCAGCAGCACGTCCGACTTCTTGGCAACCGGCCTCACCCACACGTAGCGGGACTTACGGTCCTTCAGCAGCAAGAAGTACAGGCTGCCGTCCTTGGCAGCCACCCGGAACGGCCCGCACAGGTCGATGTGCACGACAGCCAGCACGTCGTCGGCGTCGGAGCCCTGGTCGGGGAAGGTGTGCCGTGCCAGCTTCCCGCCGACGCACGAAACACACGGTGAGTCGGCGCCAGTCGTCGACTTGAGGTCCAGCCCAGTGGCGACCTCATGCTTTGCTGAGCGTAGGATGGTGTCCATGCAGACGTGCGCCAGCCGCGCATGCAGCCTGTCCGGCGTCGACTTCGTCGCCGAGACGATCGCCCGCAGAGCCACCACTTCGTCGGCGGTCGTCGCCGAGTAGGGACGTATGTCGGTGCAGAGGACCCGGCCGGAATACGTTGCTCTACCAAGTACGTCGCCCGTCGCCTAGACGAGCAGCATCACGTCGCCGTTGTCCTGCAGCTTCACACCGTTCTCCTTCTGCTGTCCGAACGACAGCAGATTCGCATGCACGCCTGGGACGTACAGCACGTCGGGAATTAGCACCCGCTTCCCGGCCTCCCCTTGCAGCGCAACCGTGCCCCGGCCCTTGACGTCTTGCAGCGCCCCATTGAAGCCACAGACGTGCTTCGCGTCGCCGCTCGGCCCCAAGTCGACGAAGGCGTCCTTTGTCCCCATCAGGTGGTGGGAGCAGCCGCTGTCGAGCAGGACCACCGCTGGATTAGCCTGCACGGCTGCCGCCACCGCTTGGAAGTCCTCGCCGGCCACCAGCGCTAGCGAGACGGTCGGCTCTACGACGCCGACTAGAGAGCACGACGCAGACTTGTCGTCGCGGCCCTTGCCGCCAGTAGAGGAGTCGGTGTCCTTCGGCGAAGTCGACGATTTGGTCGACTGCTTCTCCTTGCGTGGCTGGTTTCCTCCTCGATGAGGACAACGACTACCAGACCTTCAGCGGCCTCCCTTGGCGTCGTCGTCGTCGGAGTCACTGCGGTCGGGGCAATCGAATGAGAGGTGGTCGGGGTCGCCGCACAGCCAGCACTCCCGACGTCGACTTCCTCCTCCTCGGCCGCTGTCCTTGGCCGACTTCTTCTTGTCGGCGTCCTTGGTCGGCTTCGAGCCACTGCTACCACCGCCGCCAGACTGTCCACGCTGCCCCGGTCGACCGCCTTGCTTTGCCAGGGCGATGTAGTTCACCTTCGCCAAGAGCTCTTGGGACCGCTCGGCCTAGGCTAGGTGCTTTCCTATATTTTATATAGTTATAGCACCGAGCTAGGTTGCATACACCGAATTCTGGGCTATTCGGTTGCCACTGATTTGTCTTCTACCGAATTCGGGAAGGGTCTGTTCGGGACGCTTCGCGACCCTCGGAACCTTCACGTAACACCTGGTTACTGCCCCTTGTGTCGAGCCTATATATAGCCTCGTGTTGTATCCAGGTGATCATTCAATTCACATTCTCTTTTCTGAGCTCGATCCTAGATCCTCACACTTGGTAATCAGAGCCCGTTTACACGCGACAGTTTTTTGACCGCTAAAAACTGAGTCTTCAAAAACCGCGGGGGCGACGCCTGTTAAGCACCAATTTTGTGTACGTAAAACCGGTTCCGTGTTTTCCGCCCTCCCTCGTTTCGGTTTTTTCGAACGCGCCTGTCGACAGGCATGGAGGGCCAGGCGACATGTATGTGACGACGCGTAACATCGCCAGCCTCCGCACCGACGTGGAACAGATGCAGGCGGCGATTCGGCGAATCGAAGCCCTCCTGACGAACCAACCACTAGCCGACACCGCAACAGCAGCGAACGTAGCAGCAACAGCAGCAGCAGCAGTGGCAACACCGATATTTCACTGACCGATGGCACCACCGTCGCTGAACGCCCGAGGCTCCCTGAAGCGTTCGATCCCAGCGCGAAAGGATCTGACGTTCGACGATTCGTAGCGACCCTCGAAATTTATTCCGAGGCTATTGGCTGTTCGACCCCGATACACGACACAGCACAGATTCGGCTCGCAACGACACTGTTACGGGGACCAGCATTAGAGTGGATTTATTACACTGACGTGGCCCGCGGGGAGAAATCGTGGGCGCAGTTTCGGGCAGACCTCATCGAACGTTTGAAGCCAATTAATACGACCTACATGGCGCGCCAGCAGATACACCGACACAAACAGTACATTAGTGTAGCACAGTGCGACGCGAGAGCTTGTCCGCGGACGTGTCGCGGACAAAAGCTCGAGATCCCCAGACCCGGAAACGCGACGCATCGCCAACCTCTCCCGTCCACCGTAGAGTCGGGGAAGTCTCCGGCAAGGAGACACGGGGCCAGAGGTTGAGCTGATGCGCTGCGTACCGGACCGCAAACGGCCACAGAAAGTGGGGAGCAGCCGCATGGGTCAGGGAGGTACGAGCGACCTCCATGACTAAGCCAATGCGGCGCTCAGCAACCCCATTCTGCTGTGGAGAGGCCGGAAGCGTGTACGACTGCTCAATGCCGTGCTCAGCACAGTAGGCTGCCAAGAGGTCGGAGGCGAACTCACCACCCCTGTCAGAGTGCAAGCGCAGGACAGGAAAGTCCGAGTGAAAGCGCTCGCCTAGCTGGAGACGGGCTCGGCTGATCCAGGGGATCAAAACACCAGGGACGTCACCCTTGGCGCGCAAGGGGAAGACCGTGGTGTAGCGCGAGTAGTCGTCAACAACTATCAGGAAGTACCTCTCCTGACCCTGACCACGGACGCGGGCCGGGCCCCACACGTCCATGTGGAGTGTCTGCAGGGGAGCGGTCGTCGGGGGAAAGGAGGAGGAGTGAGGAGCAGCGCGCTGCCGCCCCTCGACACAGGGAATGCAGTCAGGAGCAGGGGAGTCGGGAAGGGGAGGGAGCACCCTGGGAAGACCAGCAACAAGGTCCCGTTTGTGCATGGCCCGCAGGCGCTGCACAGACGGGTGACCAAGGCGGTGGTGCCAGAGGACGGTGTCGTTCGCCAGAGAGCGACACGAGCAGGGGGCGGACAGCTGACCTGACGCTGACGCAGACGCAGCTACCTGAGGGGACTCAGTGGTCAGTGTGTACAGGTCAGACCCCGGCTCTCGAGTGAAAGTAGCTAGGTGGCGGCCCGTCCGAGCACACGTGCAGTGAGTCACACGCTCGTAGGCAGGGGTGAACTGGTGAACACCCGAGTCCTGGAGCGCACTACCTGCCACCAAGTTCGTGGAGAACGAGGGGAGGTAGAGACCTGAGAGCGTGCCGGACGGAACCGCTGGACACGGAAGGGTGGTGGAGGAGGTCGCAAGGACCGGACCCCCAGAGGGGTCAGCAAGAGAGACAGCAACCGGCCGAGCTAGAGGCTCAAGGACAGTGCGGTCACGAAAGAAAGAGCGAGAAGCACCTGAGTCCAGTGTGAAGGTGTGCAGTGCTGCAGTCGACTCAGTACCAGGGGGCACAGACGCACAAGCACCTAGAGCAGCAGCTGCAGAAGTACCTGTGGAAGCAGACACACTAGCACCTAGAGCAGCAGCGGGGCTGGCCTGAATGCCCGGGTCGGGCGGAACACGCAAGTACTGAGCACCCTCTCCACTAATAGACATCGCATACATGGCAGTGAGAATAGCATCAAAGTCAAGTGCCCAAATATCAACACCCTTCCTGAGCAGATCAGCCCAGCGCGGCAGCTCACCCCCACCAGGAAACTGAGTGCGCCACGCATCGTTGAGGCGGGCGAAGCAGCGCTCCGTCTGGTGCGGCCCCCCACACGTCTGGCCAGTGCGGTCACCTGTACGAATAACGTACTGGCAGGTGACGCTGCGCCGCGCATACCACTCACGGGCGGCCTGAAGGGTCGGGGCAGGCTGCTGACTCTGACCGCCCCCCGGGCTCCCACGACCACCACCCCCTCCGCCTCCGCCCCGGCCACCTCCACCCCTGCCGCTGCCACGACCACCTCCGCCTCCGCTGCCACCTCCGCCCCTGTCACCACTCCCAACACCGCTGTCACCTCCACCACCGCCGCCACTAGCCTCTCCAGTCGCACCTCCACCGCCACCACCTCCACCCCCGCCTCCTCCGCCACCACCCCCACTCCTGCCACTCCTGCCCCTGCGTCGTCCGCCTGAAGCAGACGCAGCCCCGACCTTCTCAGCACCAAGGAGGTCGACAGCAGCAGCAGAGGCGACAGAGGGGAGGAGGGGGGAAGGGGAGCACCCCTCGAAGAAGGGGCCGCGGGGGTCGCCACGAGAGGTGCCTACAGCGACGATACTAGCCTCGGCTGCAAGCAGTTCCTTCTCGAGGAGGGCTATGGTGAGCTCAGTGGGGGAGCGAGAGAGGAACTGGTCCCTGACAGGGCGCAGAGAGTCAGGGAGGCGGGTGACAACGTGGTAGAGGGTGATCCAGAGCGGGGGGGGGTTGCTAGCGAGGAACTCATCAGGCATGGCAGCGCGAAAGCGAGCCTCACTAGTCTTAAGGTGGGTGATGAGGTCTGCGACAGTGTGAAAAGAGGCTAGGTCGGGGAACAGGTAGGGGAGAGTGAGGCGGCCTAGTGTGGCAGAAGCGGGTGAGGAGTAGCGGGCCACTACAGCTGTGTAGAGGTCCTTAGCAGTCTTGCACTGGCCGAAGTGCTCGCGCTCATCTAGCGGCAGGGAGTTGCGAATAGCAAAGCGAGCGTGCGCGTCACGGGTCTGCCACTGTGAGCGCTCAGCTGGGGGGGCAGTAGCGAGTGGGGCGGTCGCATGGCCGAGAGCGTGGTCGTACAGTGTAATATCTTCCTTGGCAGTGAGCTGTAGGAAAAGGTGCAGGTCATCTAGCCAGGTTTCGAATTTGACCGGACGGCCCTCGGCGTCGAAAGCTAGAACAGGAGGACTAGCCATAGCGACAGCGGCAGTAGTAGAAGCAGTAAAGTCACTGAACAGGCGTGCGCAGGGTCAGCAGGGCCGGTGGGGCCTACGGACTGTAGTGGCGCACAAGCAGCAGTAGCAGGAAGTGTAGTAGTAGGATCTGCAGTGGTGCACAGGCGCAGCAGGCGGCAGCGAGAGCCGGCGCAGCAGGGGCGGGCTCAGCAGCGGTGATACGCAGGCGGCAGCGGGCGCAGCAGCGGCGGTGCGCGGGCGGCGGCGGGCTCAGCAGCGGCGGTGCGCGGGCGGCGGCGGGTTCAGCAGCGGCGGTGCGCGGGCGGCTGCGGGCTCAGCAGCGGCGGGCCGGGAGCAGTGCGGGCAGCGTGCGGGCCGGCGGCGGTCAGCGCACGAGCCGCGCAGGCTCAGCGCGGGCTGTGCGGGCTGCTCGCGGGCTGCGTAAGCGGGTCGCGGGCGGCTCGCGGGGGTTCGCGGGCGGCTCGCGGGGGTTCGCGGGCAGGTCGCGGGCTGCTCGCGGGCAGTTCGCGGGCTGTGCGCGGGCTGCGCGGGCTGGTCGCGGGCTGTGCGCGGGCGGTTCGCGGGCTGTGAGCGCGGCGCGCTGTGCGGTTCGCGGGCGGCGTGACGGGGCCGATCGGGGCGCTAAGGGGCGACGCGACGGGGGCCGTGAGAGGCCGCTAGGAAAAAAAATTTCGACGGGGCCGCAGGGCCGCTAGATCGTGCTAGATCGACGGGGCCAGCGGGGCCGGAAACAAGCGAAGGTAAGCAGGTAGGTAAGTCGGTGGGCCCTAAGAACAGTCCTAGCGAAGGACCTGCTCTGAAACCATGTCAGAAATAACTGAGCAGGAATGAATGAACTAGAACAGAGTTTGGTACAAGTAGGAAACCCTAACTTTGTGTACCCCCTAAGGTGTAACCCACTACAGCCTAGACAATATAAACATGCAATGTTTGACAGTACACGCAACAGATGGAGCTACTGTTCAACCGCATTACTGACCTGACCGAAGGTGAAATAATCCAGGCATACGCAGAAGGGTTAAAAATGGAGATTTGCTGATAGGTAATTGCAGCGAGCTACAACAGTTACCGCAACATCGTACGTGCTGCCGAGCGATACAAAGCATTGACTCGAGGTCAATCCGAAACACGACGTTTCAGGCCGAACTGTACATTCGGCACGGAGCGATCGGCACCCCCCACGTTGGACGAAACGATGGATATCGACAAAATGTGAATTTTGCGGCGCAGCAGGGCATCAAATCTTGTCGTGCTACAAAATGAAGAAAGCACGTGCGTGTGGCAATGCTGGGCAGCAACAGTGGAGCACCCCCGAAGTAAAAAAACGGGGATAGCCAGTAGCCGCGGATCGACCTGGCGATCGCGTAAAGATCCGAAAAGCAGGAAAAGGCGACGACGTGGCGACTTCGGAGCGGGTGAAAAAGTGAGAAAATGATGGCGCGAATTTAAAACGTCACGACCGGCCGGCATCAGGGGAAATCGCCGAGGAAAAAGGAGGCTCCACGAAAGTAAGAATTTGTTAAAAGTATCCTATAAAGATACTCTAACGAAAAACATTGCTTCTCGTGGTTTTCAAGCCTTTGAAAAATTCAGGGGAGATTTAGAGGCCAAGAAAAAGCCTTTAGAAATTATTCAGGTACCTGAGAAGTTGGGCAAAGTACTATGGAGCGTAGAAAAGGGTCGTGCGTTCCGTGGAGTTAATATCTCTCCTCGCAGCACCGTGTTAAGGCTCGCCATTGCCCACAGGTGAAGCCTATATAGCTGCAAAAGCGTAGATGACAAATCCAGTCTCAGGAGAAATTATACAAGCCTAGGAAAAATCCTCCTACCCGCCAGGTGAAGTTGGAAGAGAAAAGTGCTGAGTCAGGTATAGGAAATAGGGAAGGTATTCATTTTGATGTACCCTATGATCCTATTAATGAGATATTGATGATCTTTGGCTACTCAGCGCAGCAAAAACCACTACTTCTCGAGGTGTTATGCAATGGACGACGCCTCCAGGCACTGGTGGACAGCGGTGCATCTCACTCGGTGTGTGACCGCGGAACATTGGAGAAAATTGGAGAGAAGGCGGTGGAGACCCAATTCTCAGCAACGATGGTGGACGGTACGAAGCTTCCCATCCACGGCGAAGCATCACTGCAGCTGCATATAGGTGCGTTGAGGTGGAAGCCGAAGCTACCAGTCACCAACATCAAAGGGTTAGATTTCATCTTGGGGCGAGATTTCCTGAAGCGGTTCAACCCCGAGATCGATTGGGTCAACAGCAAGGTGTGCATCTACAACAACGGGAAGCGGATAGAGGTACTAAGCTGGACAGATACAGGGGACGTTCCTGAAATAACACTGGCATGGTTCGAACAGACGGTGAATGAGAGTAACACGGGTTTCTAAGCACTGGTTATGGCAGCAGCAGAGGAGGAGAAGCCGAGTTCCGAGCTACCCGCAGCGTGAAGGAGGTCTTGGAGCAGTACAAGGATATAATGCCCGACGACCTACCTGCAGGCGTACCTCCAGCACGCACCCACGAGCACGAGATTGTGGAGGAACCAGGTGCGAAACCCGTCTCACGTGCACCTTACCGACTGAGTCCGACCGAACTGACAGGCACGAAAAAACAGATAGAGTATCTACTGGACAGACAACTGATCCGCCCATCCACCTCTCCTAACGGAGCACAAGTTCTCTTTACACCAAAACCAGACGCCAGTTTACGAATGTGCATCGACTACCGCGCACTGAACAAACAGACATTCAAATATCCCATATCGCGCATAGACGACTTACTGGACCAACTGCGTGGTGCAACAGTTTTCTCGAAGCTGGACCTACGGTCGGGTTACTGGCAGATCAAGATGGCGGACAACTCGATCCACAAGACGGCGTTCCGTACAAGATACGGCTCCTACGAATACTTGGTGATGCCGTTCGGACTCTGCAATGCACCAGCGACATTCCAGGCGGAGATGAACCATATCCTACGGCCCCTGCTGGACGAGTGCATAGTAGTGTACCTGGACGATATCCTCATCTATTCCAATAACATGAAGAAGCACGTGGAGCATCTGTGGAAAGGAGTTTGAGATCCTGTGGAAAAATAAGTTCTACGTGAAGTTGTCGAAGAGCGACTTCGCACTGAAGAAGGTGCAGTTTCTCGGGCACATGGTGAGTGCCGAGGGCGTACACGTGGACCCGCGGAAGATCGAAGCCGTTAAGAAGTGGAAAGTACCGGAGAACGTGAAGGAGTTGTTGCAGTTCCTCGGCTTCGCCAACTACTACAACAGGTTCGTGCCGCAGTATGCTAAGATAGCAGCGCCACTGACCGACCTACTGAAAAAGGATACGCCCTTCAAATGGGATACTCCTCATCAGCATGCCATGAAACAGCTACAGACAGCACTGATTATAGCGCCAGTACTCATCCTACCGGACCCAGACACTAGTGACCAGGCAGACGGAGCAGTACTGATGCAGGGTCGCAGAAAAGGTTTACAGCCTATTGCCTACCTCAGTAAGAAGCTACACAGAGCAGAACTGAACTACCCCATTCACGATAAGGAAGCCTTAGCCATAGTCGTAGCCTTCAAGGCGTGGAGGTGTTACCTAGAGGGAGCCAAGACCACAGTATACACAGTAGCCTTTGATACCTGAAGTCGCAGCCGACACTCTCACGACGACAGGTGCGGTGGATGGACTTCTTGGAGACCCACTTCCACTACGACATCGTCTACAAACCCGGGCTACACAACAAAGCTGATGCGTTGAGCCGCCCCGGTCATGTAGCAGGCATCCAGCTCGACGGGATGAACCCTCTTCTCAAGGGTCTATTCCAACATGGGTACTCCGTGGACGCAGAGATAGCAACGGCAGAGAAACAGAAGCTGTTACAGTGGGAGAAAGACTTAGCGGTAAGGAAGAATTCAGAAAAGATTTGGGTACCGAATTACGCCCCGCTACGGCAGATCCTACTGGAGGAGTTTCACGAGGTACCATACGCGGGACATTTCGGGAGTAACAAGACGTTAGCGGGAATAGCGAAGTATTACTACTGGCCTCGGATGGCAGCAGACGTGCAGCAGTTCGTCACCTCTTGCGACACGTGCCAGCGGATGAAGAGTAGCAAGCAGAAAAAGGCAGGGTTACTTCAGCCTCTACCCGTACCGGAGCAACCATGGCAGGTCGTTAGCCTCGACTTCATCACGGGACTTCCCTCGACCTCACGGGGACACGATTCCATCCTCGTAGTCATCGATAAGTTTTCTCAAAAATGGGTCACTTCATCTCCACCAACGCCACAGCTACAGCTGAAGCAACTGCTCGCCTCTTTGATCGCATCATCACAATCCACAGCATCCCCGCTACACTCATTTCCGACAGATATTCCAAATTCACTAGTAAGTTCTCGAAGGAGCTCATGTGATTGTTGGGGACTAAGCTTGCGATGTCTTCAGCATACCATCCCCAGACTGACGGACAGACAGAGTGACTCAATCAGGTGGTTGAACAGTTACTGTGCACAGCTTGCAAATATGACATCAACCACTGGGACACACAGTTACCGACCTTAGAGTTCGCTTACAACAACGCCTCGCATGCGGCCACAGGGAAAACTCCTTTCTTCCTGTGTTACGGACGGGAACCACTCACCCCACAGCAGCCAACCAGACGACTGCGTCACCACCATGCAGCAGCTATGGGAGAAGACTCAACGACGTCTCACCACGATGCAGAACTCCCAGAAACAGTATGCCGATCATCAGCGACAAGATCACTCAGTAGCAGTCGGAGATCAGGTGCTTCTTGACACGAGCAATTTGAACCTGTCTCACCTACCATCCAAACTCCGGCCTCGCTTCTGTGGTCCATTTCTCGTGGAGGCACAGGTGATACCGGTTACATTCTGCTTGCGCTTACCAGATACGTGGAAGCTTCACAATGCTTTCCATGTTCAGCTACTGAAGCCCTACAAGGACCCCAACCAACAGTTCCAGGGACGGCAG